CCTCCTTGAACTCTGTTTAATGCGAGTAAAAGTAAGCATCATAGACGCTCAGATGGAGGCCGATGTGACACCACATACCAGAAATTTGCTCTAAGCGACCACGAGGATGATGAAAAGAACAGTTTACGTATTAGAAAACGAGCCCTTGTACACGCGATACGCGAGGAAGCAACTGGTTACCTTCAGACTGGTAATTTATCGGTGTCAGGTCTGCGATATCGTGCAAAATGAATCGGATATGCTCCTCACCAATTGATCAGCCATTATGCGGGTATGCTAGAGTTGGTCAGGAAAGAGAATGAAAAGATGGCGGAGGTGTTGACTGTAGCTTTAAAGGTCCTTGACCAGCTCTCCGCAACGGCAATATCAGGTACTCGGCGATCGCCGAACCACAAACCGGCAGCGCTTGTCGTTGGCGAACTGCTGTACACAATCCGCCAACAACCTCAGCATCAGCGCGGAATTTTTCATAGTGGAGCACCTTGTTGGATGTTTTTCTCGCCAGAGGGCATCAATTTCTCTAGGCTGTGTCTTCTCCTTGGCCTGGAAGCGAAATTTGCTCACGGACTCGTCTTAACCCGGAATCTGAATGACTTTCTTCCACAAAATTTGTCTATTTTTGCCTCTCTGCTGTCATGAATTCATTATTGTTATCGATGAACTGCCTGCTGGAGGACCCTTGGGCATAGAAACGCACATAGCACTGGTCCTGATAAAATGTTCCTGCAAGCAAGGTTTTGTCAATCACACTTGATCTTTGGATGCAGATGCGGTGGCATGGGCGTTGTTCCTTGCTTTCTTCCTTCCATTTGCATCCTCTTAATAGGATTGTATGGCACTCTTATCAAATTTGGGGCCTGTCTCCAACGTCTACTTACGAGGAACTCAACCACGTCGCACCAGTGGGTGAAGAATATGTAACAAAAGGAAGCAAGCCAGATTGAAGTATTGCTGTGCTCTCTTTACTGACGTTGCATAGGTGGATTTCCTTGCCTCTGAAGGCAGTGGGGCTTCCGTGTTCGTATAGTTGTTGGAAGAGGGCAAATTTATTTGACTCGATGAGGGCTCGCATCCTATGTACGGATTGACTGCAAAATAAACATCAGCTTCTGCGAAGACAAAAACAATAGGCCTCAAACACACCTTCGCCACTGGAATACGCATTAGCACCATAACTTTACTTAAACAGACGGACGATCTGCGCCAGAGGATTGATTATTTCCCATTGCAGCGAAGGCTGGTGGTGCTGTGCTTCATGCTGCTTTTGCCACCATCAATGCATCCCATTGTTGATCTTAGTCACTCATCTTCTGAATACTGACATGGCCGTGTGGCGAAATGGCATCGCGTCTGACTACGAAGCGCGAATCAGGAGATTGCAGGTTCGACCCCTGTCTCGGTCATGTTTTTTTGCCTAGTTTTGATTCTTAAGCGCTTAGCTGCTTGTGTTGAAAATAGGGAGGTGCATAGAACTCGGGTAAAAATCCCAGCATTGATACCGACCAAAAATACAACCAATTTTAGATACAAGACTCAAGATATTGGTATAGATGTACGTATCCAACAGTGGTCCTCTGAAGTAATATTACAGCGTCGGATGTCATTCCCTTAACCCTTCCAGAAATTGTCATAAGATGCACTGGCATTGACACCCTGAGCGCAAAACGTGTTCAGCCTAATTTTATGACTTACAAGTGAAGAAGGACACATACCATAGTAATGTACCCAATAAAGCCTTGAGAAAGCACGCCACCAAGCAGATGCACCTTGAAAATAGGGTTGTATTTACCCTCCGGTCCATGGCTATCTTGGAAGATATTTAGTGAATCCTGCCAATTCCGTGTCCGACCTCGGATGTCCTTGATGGGGTTGGTAACATAAGGATACATTTTGTCGACAACCATGTTCATATCTTCGTCGAAGAAGAATTGACCGGTGTGCGCGAGCCTGCCAGCCTTGAAGGTGTTGTTCTCTGGAATCACAGACCATTCTGGGAAAACTTTGGTGTGGACGTGAGTGGCGCGTCCGGTATAATATCCAGGATAGATGGCTGGAATTTTGATATCAGCGTTGGATATCGTTCAGAGTGACGTAATTGGACATACTAGTGAATTGAACAACCCCGTTCTTGTCTGTAGGCCAAGCGCCTCGTAGCCAGGTCTCTTCGTGGACTGTCCGAGGGTAAGCCGATAACAAGCCCCGTCGCCGGCCTTCACTTGCGGGTAACTCGTTAGCGAGGTGTGGGTGAGGCAAAGGATGGCCTTTAAATGAATGGTTATCAATTTATGGACTCCCTCGTTGCATACTATGGACGCACCTGCGTAGGAACCCGTGGCATTCGCTTGCCAGATATCAACTAGAACGTTTGGAAGAGGTTGACATGTCTCGACGTCAATAACTCCAATATCAAGGAGCTGGCAACACGATATTAAAACAATTCCACTATCTTTGACAGTTACTCACTAGAAGCAAGCCATCCTGCAGCTCTGCGATATTCTGTCGTATTGGATGACCTTCAGTATGGTAGTAGGGTCCTTCTGTCACTTCAGGAGCAAGCACGCAGGTATTGTTCTGGATGTGTGTCTCAGAGATCGGTGTGCATTTCATAAAGGTTTCATCATCGTTGGAAGTGGCCGTTTCGTCCGCGTTGTGAGGTTTGTCGTCGATACCCGCATATCTTTCTGCAGAAAATAACTGCTGGTATCCGGCAAGGGAGGGGTTGCCCGAGAGGACTCTTTGTGCCCATGCTTGTTTCCGAGCTGCAGTGAACGATTCCACTGTCGGTGCACACTGAAAAGAATATGTTACATGCAATGCACAATGTAGATCAAGATACAAATACAGACATGATAGGCAGCTGCTTGCAAAGCCCGCTGAACCTCTATCTCATGCTCCGTCTTTGGTGCACGATGCGCCAGAGACAGCGCGACTTGCAATAACGCAACCGAGAGCAGCCGGCTCGCGAAAAGCATCATGGGATTGGGAAAGCGACGATGTTCCGGAAATTCAGTCGCTACTTAAATAGCATATCGGCTGGGGCGCGACTCTCTATGAATGTGTTCACATGAGAATGTTTCGAGAAAGACCCGCCCGAGAGGATCGCACACCGAAAGATGCTTGCCGGGTTAGGGTCAATGTGCGTTCTGCAAGGACGGGTCTCGTGATTGCAGCGACGAGCTTTGGAAATTGGAATACCGCTTTCTGGACGAAGTACTGTACACATGAAAAGGTTACAATACCAGGAAACCAAAAGTAAAATAATAGTTGTTAATCTAGCCATATTGCATGACTTGCTCCTTGAATTTTATCCTGTTCTTCACTGGTAGAAGTATTTCTTGCCGCTGAGGGCCATTCAACGACGACCTTTATACCTCCTTTTTCCCATCCATCCCACTCCAAGACGCGTATAGCACCGCTTCCGGAAGATTCAGTGACATCGTCGTCATCCGTGAGCAATATCCACAGGCCGTCCTGATCCTCTTGTCCTGGTGAGTTCTTGCTGAGAATGTCAATGGCATTGGCTTTACCGCCAGACGTTGGGGTCTGGAACCACTCTGCATCGTAATTTATACTTTGCTTTCTTTCTTGATGGAGGGTAGCAAAGGTTCCATCTTCGTTCAAAGGAATAATACTGAGCCAGCCTCGCAAATCGGGTGTCGAACCGCGAGTAGTCGTGACCAACGCATCAGGATTTGGCTTTGAAGGCGTCGAAGGCGAAAGCATGAGCGTATCGCCACGGAAATTACCCTTTGATTTGGAAGCCTCTGGAGAATCTTGCGCGGTAGCCGGTATCAAGGGACGTGAGCTAATGTATTCGAGAGTAGTGGACGAGATGCGGTATGCATCCACGTAATTAGCTGCAAAAGAACTAATCAGAGCTAAGCCATAGGAAGAGTGCGACTGACTTACAGTGCTCAGTAACGCAGTATAGTACTCTGCCATTAGGATGTATCTTGACGTGACGAGGACCGTCATTAGCGTCCTTTCCTCGTGGTGAGCCGATGGACGCTATATGAGATAATTTTCCGTTCGCAGCATCGTGATTATACATCTCGATTGAATTTGTTCCGAGGACAGGGACAAAGGCGTATTGACGAGAGGGGGTGAACTCGATTCCATGAGACCCGTATCTCTAGGAAATCTTGGTCGGATATTATGATACGGCAGCGAGAAAAAATGTACCAAGGCCACTCTAGTTTTATCTGCCGCTGACAGATCATCCTCTGGAATGAAGAGTAATTCTTGCATCTTTTCACCAAACCCGCCAGTCTGCAGATCGATGACATGAGACTCTCCAGTAGGACCACCGACAGAATAGACGTGAGTGTATGGTGGGGGGACGGTAATGTACGATGACGTTGCCGCTGCTAAGCATTCAACTAGGGTGCGACATGAGTCAAGTTGACCACGAACTTATGGACACGTTATTGATGTGCGACACTCTCCAAGGATCTGAATGTTCGATTTGCCAACTTGAAAGGGCGGGAGGTTGGGCCCAGGTTGTAGCATATACACGATTTTTGAACTGATTCGCTGCTAGGTATTGGTGAGGCCCGTATGCAGGAATGGTTTGTAGGTGCGACAACGACCGCGTCGACGGCGAGAAGGCAAGCAAGAAGAAGATAAAGACCGAAACGATCCGGCCAAGATGTGATGGATTGCAGTATCTTGGGGGATAGTAATGTTCAGAACTTGAGGATAGCCAAGGACATTGTGAGCGTCCATTGTGAAGGATTGGTAAGGGGAGAAATGACGAAAGGGGCCATGATATCCATTCGGATCCACTGTCTATATGCCGAGGTATGGGAAAACATATTCAGAACACTGCAGGATACACCGTTATATATCCAATATCCCAGTCCCTGAGAAAAAGATTGCGAAATGTCGTGCATACAACGTCGGGAACAGTGAGGGACAGTGGGAACACAGGCTTGTCATTGACCTCGAGGTGAACGGAACTTTTGGCTATTATATATCGCAAGTGTTTAGATATTTATACAGGTGAGATGGCCGAGCGGTCTAAGGCGCCAGACTAAGGATCAGGACATTAGATGTCCGCGGTTCAAGCGGAATGGCTTATACAATCTGGTCAGAAATGGCGTGGGTTCGAATCCCACTCTCATCAAATATTTTTTCTCTTCTCTATTAGAAGTGAGAGCCACCGTAATTTATTCACAATTTGTTGGATTTTCTTTTGGAATTTTAAATGTCCATGATCATGCAACGAAGGATACTACGTAGCCTTGCTGCGAATACAGAAAGGACTTGGACGTCCGACACTTTGAATTTGCATTCCTACAGTTCTTGTTCCGTTAAGAGTTGAATACTAATAATTTTACAGCTTATGTTTAATCTCTTTCGCTGCAATTCTAGCAAATTGTTTCGCAGGTATGCCACTAGCAAAACGTTCTGCCTGGGCTAGATTGATTCCATTAGTTTAAGCTTCTGGGAAAACGATACGGCGCACCATAACTCTCTCGTAGATTAACTGCATCAGGATCATTCTTCTCGTGAAGACCTCTTTGAATCAGACTCTTTACGACAAGGACTGCAGTAGGATCCAATCCTCTCAGCTCTTCCAAAAGGAGAGTGTGTACTTCAGCATGGAAGGATTCTACACTTTGATCCGGGAATATTTTGCTGAAATGAAAAGGTTAAACCAGTATCATCATGCAAAATTGCGGATCGTACTTGAGAAACCGGCATGCGAGAAGTTCTGAGGCGCTCTTCTTCTTGCCCCAGATCAGGACCTCATTCGCAACTGCGACGCCCACTGCAATGGGCTCAGTCAATTTATAAAGCTTATAACAGCAAGGCAAGCTTACTCCGGTTGACGAAGCTTACACTCGCACCGCCCTCAGCTATAATACCTATCCGACAATATAATGAGTGGTTCATATATGTGCCCAATAGCACTTGCCAAGGAATGTAAAAGGAACGGCAAGCCAGACGCTGGGAAGAGCGTAAATGAAGTCAAAATAGCCTAAAAATGCTGTCCTGTGCATCAGCAAAGTGAGTTGTAGGTATCTCTAAATTTTCTACCTGCAGTGATGCCTAAACAAAGGGTGAGTTATTGCCACAAGGAAAGTTGGTCAGGAGAGATGGCCTACCCATGACGGGTCCATTTAAAGCGGCCACAAGGATTTTGCTATGAGAATAAAGCTGGATCGCAACTTCAGTATCACAGCCTTGAATAAAAAACCGAAATATTACGGCCTTTCCACAGTCGGTCGTTGAGCCGACGACTGAAGACCGGAGGGCATTGCGCACGCTTCCAATGGAGGATGTGGAGGTAACACGCCGTCGTACATCCGTACCTCTAATTATCCGCACTCATTTTAGAATCTTAGAATGGGCGGCACGAAGTAAATGAGAACCTACGCGCAAAACCATTTACCTGTTGCTGAGTCAAAATTATTAACTTGAGCATGGAGAATTCAAGGGGAACCCACCTTGCCAGACAGTCACAAGAACATCTTCATTCTGGTCAATCTCTCGCAAAGCATTTGCGAAAGCATCATAGTCTATATAGCATAGTTAATCAGTAAAAAAGGGAAAAATCTAGTCCATCATTCAGAAGAGCAAACCTTCGGGAGTAAGAGCATTCAAACTCTTAGGGCGATTCAAGGTGACCGTGGCAATGTGGTCCAAATCTCAATGGTCAAAGTAGAAGGGCTCATTTATGATGTGTATCCAAGGATTGTGGTCTGCAACGAGGTTCTGGATAAAAAACCGAAAACCGACCGCACAAAGAATCGTTATGCACTCATTCGCAGTCAACCCAGCATAAAGGGGATTGACGTCGACGTTAAATAAGACGGGGTCAGGGGTTGATATAAGTATTGTTCGGTAATCTACAACTCCGAGAACCCGGCCGTGGCACGTGGCTCTGTTGAAGACTTCACTCACTACTTACACCTGCGCTCGCGTCTAGCATTCAATTCCTATCATGAGCCACCGCAACGTCTTGGCCCCATCACTTACAACGACGCGCTAGGCCCAGTCACACACATTCCCACGTATACTATCCGCGACTCCTGCCGATTCCGCTCATTCACGCCCAGTATACAGACAAAGCAAAGAAACCAATCCGGAAGTTCAAGGGCGTACGCATTTTTGCAGAAAGTATAAGCTTTATGCCCGAAGCTGAAATTTTCTCCATCGAGGAGAACGTTGAACATTCTTTGGCGAGCACAACGTGGTTCAGAACACCGTTTTAAAAACCAATCCCAACGTTGACCTCCAGACTTACCTAATTCCTGAAGGTACCGTGCTGCGGATTGAGCGTCCGGGTATGCTTGCGGTGAGGCGCACGGCACCTTCTCGACAAGGACCAGCCGGCTTCCAGTCAAATTGGGATTGAAGAGCCGTCTTCCTGCAGGTGATTTCCTGTCTCTGTTACTGGCACCCTGAACTTCGCCCGTGATTAAAATCTCTTCCCGTCGGTTTGCTAATTGTCAAATATGTGTAGCTCTAGAGAAGTTATAGAAAATCAGTTCTAGTTATTTTGCAGTTTTCAGTATTCTTTGATTTATATCGGAGAGCAAGAGCAGTTAGGGGAAAAACATGTAAGTGGTATATAAGCAAACCAATCCCTCCCATGACGATTCTCTAAGCGAACAATCCAGAGGACTTCCAGTACTTGATCCATAGTAGGACGTCTTGAATATTGATGGGATGTAATTCCTTCATCGTCTTGCTGATGCTTTGCGCCTTGGTTGTCGAGAAATCAGCCAAACCACCACACTCCTGTCCTTGTAATTCGCCAGCACGCAGAGCCAAGTCAGCGTGGGCAGTGTTGCGGAAGAAGTCACTGAGTTTGATGGCGGGCTATCACGAAACATTGGATCAAGAATAATTGGTTTTCAAAGGATAGATTACTTACAACGTCCTTGAGATCATCTGCATTGCCCGCAGCGGCAAGTTTCTCGACCAGTGCAAACCACTCTGGGAAAGCGACAACAGGGAGTTTGCTGGGAATGACACCCTCGCCGACGAGAGTGTCGTTGACGAAAGAGATGAGGGTGTCGAATGGTAACGGTCGAGGATGAACAATGTTGAGAGCGTGTGGAGGGGATGATGGTGACAAGGCGACGTCGACCAGACTTTGCGCAACACCGTCCATTGAGATCCAGGAAGCGACGCCAACCAAGGATGGGAGCGCCTTCAAAGCAATACTGGACTTGACAAGGATAGGGACCCAGTCGGTAATAGCCCAAGCACCATTGGGTTGACCACCGGAAATTTGGCCAATCCTGAACGATGTGCCTTGGATACCACTCTGAGACAAGATCTACGAGCTTGTCAGAGTTAGCCAAATGTTTATAAAACTTGAACACTCACCCTCTCAGTAACGTATTTGCCTTCACCATAGCCATTGCCAACAGCGAACTGAGGATCAGTGAGGACCTCCTCGGGGTAAGGACCGCGTGTCCTGTCCCAAGAGATGGCTTGCGCAACCGAAGATGTGAACAGGAACTTGGCGGACGAACCAGCAGCACTTGCTCGTGCAAGGTCGATGAGGTTGCGAGACGCACGAATGTTAGGCTCAAAGGAGGCAAGCTGCAGGTTGAAATCAAGCCGCCATGCTATATGGATGATGACGTTGACGTCGCTCAGCAACTGTTTGGCGAAGAGGTAAACATCGCAGAAACACTACTCAAGCAAGACAGCACGCACCTCAGCATAAACCTCCTTCCGCAATCCGACATTTTTCTGTGTCAAGTCACCCTCCAAAAAGACCAATTTTTCATTTGATAAAAGGCTAATATCGAAGCCTTTGTCTTGGAACCGACCAACATGTCTTGAGCGGACATCATCAGAGGCACTTCTGTTGAGAGAGTACACCTTGCGAACAGAGGGATCACGTAACAAGATTACAAGGATCTGGGAACCAAGGTTTCCAGTTGTACCAGTGAGAAGAACAACAGCGCCACTGGAGGCAGTACCGGCAGAAATGGGGTGTTCAAGGCCAACACTGTACCTTGCGATCATCTCCTCAATTGCATCTGTCCTGCTGGCAGAAGCCTGTGCACTGTCAGGGTCAACGACAAGGGCAGCAAGGAAAGCGGCGAGTTTTTTGATTGAAGGGTAGTTGTAAATCGTGTTTTGAGTGACAAGTTCGGCAGCCCTCTGGGTGTCTTTGTTGGCTTGAAGCGCACCGACCACGCGACGGCGGAGGATTGTCCCACTCAGACTGAAAAGGACACATTAGAACGATGAAAGGGGCAAAATATTAATTTACCTGTCGAGACCCTGTTCAAACAAATCTACAGAAACATTGAAAGTCTTTCCAGAATTGAGTTCCTCAACTTGCGACTTCAGCCACTTCTCGGCATCTTCCTTCAACCATGACGAAGGTGGTTCAACGGCTTCCGCATTGACGGTGGAGTCGATGGTTGCATAGCTGAAGTGAAATTAGGCAATGAAATCAAAGGACGAAAGGGGACACATGCAGTGCTTCAATCTCATCAGCGTACGAAGCTAAAGCAGCCTTCCGCATTATGGTTCCCTTTCCAGCACGGGGTAGAGGCTTGCCGGGCGAGGCAAATAAAATCAACTCCTTGAAGATTTTACTAAAAGCGGGTGCAACACGGTTGGCTTCTTCAATAATTGGCCTATTATGAAGGTCAACAATCTCTGGAGGGTGGGGAAAAAAAAGAGTATGTCTCACCAAACCAAATTCCTTGCTTTGACGAGTTCAACTTCGACGGCGGGGTCGACGGCATAGGTAGGCTTGAGTTCAATAAGCACTCCGGGTTGATCATGCTCTCGTCCGAAGATGACGACTCCCATGGTGCTTATGCACGATCAACATAACGAATTCACTTAGATAAAAGTGCATACTAGGGGCTATTCAGGATGATGTTCTCCATAGGTGCAGGGACGGTCTTCTCCCCAGAAGTGTGAATAATGACATCGTCTTTCCGTCCGACGCTGACAGACAAGTCATTAGCCAAGTGAGGATGGAGAAGCCAGAGGACCTTACATTTTCCAGAAACCCGGCGCCGTCGGGTGAGGAATGAATAAATCTGACGTCGCGTAGCCCTTCTCTCCATGCAAATTCTCGACAGACACTTGCTGGTATTCGCTTGTCTAATCGATGAAATGTTCAATGTTCGGTTC